ATCTGGCAGCACCCCATATCTGAATTGTAGCATGTCCTAATGGATCAGCTGAAAGCTATGCGAATCCTCCAGTATCTGCCCTGACTACCTGCTCTCTGTCTCCCCGTCTGTGTGCCAAGGGTGATCCGGGGGCTCTGTGCCCGCTGACAGCTCAGCTCACTCTGGCAGACAACCGGCACTTATGCACACAACTAAATGCACCACTGTGCACAAAGAAAAGAAAGCCCTGCACTAAATTAAGAAGTGGTTCAAGATTTTCAAGTTTCTCCACCCTTGACTATTATCGAAGGTTCTTCTTGTAATACAAATAAATTGTATGCATGTAATATAGAGAATATAGAGTACAGCTACATGATATCGACATGTTAAAAACTAAAAAATATATAATTTTTAGTTTGTAGTACAGTGGATTTAGTGTTACAGGATTAATGCACAGAGATTGCATTGCTTTCTGACACTATGTGACTGAGGCTAACTGTGAATGAATAGACTCATTCTGTGCAATGTTAGCACAGACTCAAATCTGCATGATTTGGCTCAGGCTGTTCAAGAGTTTGAAATATTATTTGAAATTTAAGATGAATCTGAAACATTTCCCCAGCTTGTATGCAGGTATTAGGACTTAAGGGTGGCCCTCTTTCCCTACATCAAATTCCAGTGGTGGAAGAAGTTTTCAAATTGTTTATTATATAAAGTAAAAATACTCTTATGCTGAAGACTGGCTCCTGTCAAAGTTATATTATATATTACTGGTTTATTGATGCTGATGCATAAACGGTTGGATATTTTGATGTATAGCGACACATTACATTTTATAAACTCATCATATAGCTTAATCTCTTTATCTGGAGTAAAAAGTACAAGATTATTTTATTTACAAAATTAACTATATACAATGCGGCATGTGCCCTTGTACACTGCCCACATATACTATACCTATTTAGTACAGTTGGCTTTTTTTCTTCTTTGAGCAAGAGTTAAACAAGATGCTAGAAGTGTTTTATGTGGGTTGCGGTCCAGTCGTACCCAATAACTACAACAACCAGACAGAGTTCCTGCAGCTGTTTCAAAGGAAACCGCATAGGACAGACGCTGTCATGTTCCTAGAACTAGTGTAACATGATGTGTGCATATGACAGTCTATTAGTGAAATGATTGGTCAAATCATTCCAATATAAGCATGTCACACTTTGGCCATGAAGGATGCAGCTGGTCTGCAACAATATGTATTGTATTGTATTTACAATGATGATGCTTACTTGGTAACAATGTGCCACACCAGCACCACCAACCTGCACTGTGACAGCAAAACGTTTAAGTTTAGAGGAGAAACCTCAGCATGGTCTCCTGCTATTGTCCATCAATTATTTTGTTTTCTTTTTTAAAATAATAATTAGATGTTTTTTATTAAAAAAATGGAAGAAAATGCAAAAAGGAGATTTAAAAGATTACTATTAATCTGTTTTTATATTTTTTATAACACTTTTGTGTGGGTGCCATTGGTGCATTGACAGAATACTGATGAAGTTGTATTCATCTCGCCCCTTAGAATCTCTTAGGAACTCAAAATGTTAATCATCCAAACCGCAACAATGCTTTAAATGAATATGTCAGTTGTTGTTTGTCTTTGTTTTTTCATCGAGATATTTATTGGATCGTCATCCTGAGGGAGTTATGCATAGAGTGTTGAAATCTTTTATTCATCAAAGGCGACATTGTGAAGTTGGAATGAAACATGTTGAACAAGCCTACAGACACTTTTATTGCATATTACATGCAACTCATAGAATCGAGTGGCAGAAAACACATTAACATAACCATGAACAGGTTACCAGTTGTTTGTCATATAGCTTTGACCTGAAACGCAATGATTTGAACCAAACAAGACATTATGAAGAGATACTAGACGCACAAGAAGATACTCGAAGACCAAGAAAAACGGGACATTTGTTTCATATTATTTTTTACAATCCTACATTAAACTGAACCAGCTGCAACGATCTGGATTGTTTGTCTGAGCATTATTATATGCTCATATAATCTCTGTAGGGAGTCATTGTTATTTCCATCTGAGGGCCTGTCTGCGCTCTATGGAGGCTTGACATCAAAAATTGAGGTGGCACAAATAATGAAAGAGGGCTCTTCTGTGTGAGTGACGAGTCTCTTTCTCACACCCCATGTGGTGGTGATTCGTTCAGCTTACTCATGTTTCTCCTCCAAACAAATTAATATTTATTATAGTCACTCAAGTATTCAGCTCAGGGGGCTTATGACACCCTCCAGACTGTGTAGCACTCCCACATAAAGGAACTCTGTAAGATGGGTCTATTTTTGGTGACCATTATCTTCACAACTCTGCCTGTATGAGACAGAGGAGGGTCACAGAGGAATCCTTTGGTGACACTGCTGCAGATATCAATAAACAATACAGCCCTCTGTCGTATCTCTGAGCGAGGCTGTGTCCTAGCCTGAGATGTCATATGCAGTGACGTGTAAAAAATATCTCCTGTGTGAAATCTGCTGCAGTTGTCCGGTCATTAATCATTATAATGAGGAATGAGGAGAGTCACAGGATCAATGCATCAATTCAGCGGATCACTTGTTTTTTGGAACTTTTAGGAGTGTTTCCGATGCAATAATTTCTCTAAAATATTTAAGCTAGATCTACTGTCACAGAAATGTCGTTAAAATGTAACTGGTTTAATAATTAGGGCTGAATCTAATAATTATTTTCACTATCGGTTGTTGTACCAATTACAATTACAATTAATAGTTTGATTGGATAGTGTTAAATTAAATTAAAAATATAAAATCACAGAAAAATAAGAACCAGATTAGGCCTTTCTGCCAATGAATTGACAAATTCTAGCTCTAATACGGTAATACTAATTTTGTCATATTCCTCTACAAATACATGTGAAATTAAGGGCTTTTCCATCCATGAGATCTACAATAATATAAACATAGATTGAAAAATACATTCATAAGATATGCAGTATAATGTTGTATTTAAAATGTACTGTATGTATATGTATGTGTGCATATCTAATAAGGCTTCCCATATAGTACCATTCATTGTAGTTTCCATATATCTAAATGTAACAATGGGTGTCATATTGTCATTATTTTTTAAAGAAACATTACATCTTTCCATATTCATATATATATACAGAGCCATGATTTGAACGATGATACAGGGCATGATTTATAAAGCACATAAATAAGAAAAAACAGAACATGTAATAAATCTAATAATAAATAAACATATTTCTAACTAGTATGTTAATGTGAACGTAAGTCAATTTGACAGCAGAAATAGTAGCAACAGATTTAGATTCCTTACCTCTGACTTCCCTAAAATAACCTTGAAGAACCACAGAGAGTTCTGACAACACACGCTCTGCTTTCAAATGACTCAGTCTTTCATTAGAATGTACTGCATGCCAGTTCACAGTACATTCATGCATTTGAACTTGTTTATATAAGTGTCATTTCCTTTCATTCGATCTCTTTACCTGTTTATTCCTGTTCAGAGTAAAAGTGAGCCTGCAGGCTACCCCAGTATGCACTGGCAGGGGAACATTGCCATTTTCAGAGGATTTCCATTGAACCACATAAAAAAAACCTTTTTTTAATTGGAGAAATATGTTGAGTGATTATAGTGTAACTGAGTTGGACTTTGTCCACTTTGTTGTTACTTACCCTTAACTAATGTGATGCCTCAGTGATCAAGAGGGCAGAGAGACTTATGAGCGCTGATGTGAAGGATCGCTGCAACACCTAAATCACAGGAACTGGGCTCACTTTCAGTTATGACAGGTCATATCTTATTATCAGGAGTAAAAGGTGACTTCAGTCCGTGTGGAAAACTTAAACATGTCAACTTGTGTCTGGAACTTGTACGCAAACAAACAAATGATATGATTTCAGAGGGTTGTATCATGACAAATTAAACATTAGTACAAAGCTGTAAGTTAATACAATGAAACCATGTGAGAACATGACAGAAAGGAATCCATACAATGAGTAGTTGGCTCAGCACCACGCAGATACATACTACTAAGAATGGGCAGGGTGCACATAAATGCTTGAAAGAAAAGCATGTATTGACAAGAAGTTCCAGCCCATGAGCAAACAAATATGAGCCTTAATACCACTGAATAACAGATAAGTCAGCGAGGATTTAAAGTGTCAGCGCTGGGATTTCTATCCTTTTATTGAACAGCCATCTTTAGCAGCATTTTGCATGTTAAATTAAAACCAGAAAGCTTCTTGGAAAAACACGGACTCCTCTGGCACATGAACACAAAATGCCTTTTAATTCTCAAAGCACTTGGGTAACTTGTGGAATTCAAGTTTGTGCAGAAGATGAAAGGCCCTGGTGTAGCTTGTAAATCATGAAGGGTGATGGAAAGGCTTTCTCAGGTGCCATATCTTAGCTGGTTCAGAGTCCCCCCTTTGTGGTCTGTCGCAGTGTTGCCCCGGGCTCACCTTGACAAGAAAAAAACCGCTTATTGAATGACCAGATGCTCCAAGGTGTGTATGAGTTACATTTGTGTGCAATAAATTAGGAGTGGAATACATTACATATGACTACATATATGCTATCAAAGTGCCCACTGGGGCCCCAAACGCTCGCCTCACGTATTTACAAATACGTCCTAGTAAATAGCAAGTGAAGTGGGACTCTTAAATTTGAGATGTGTGTAGCCATCAGACGGAACTTGACACCGTTGCACAGAGCAGCGGAGATCAGGTTAGAAACATGCATCGCAACAGAACATCTCCAAATCGCATTCCGCATACTGAAATCTAATCCGAGGACATCAGGATGTGTGACATAATCCCCAAGACATCTGAAAACTGCGCTCCTCCGAACCAGGCTCCAGGGGTGGTTTGGAGAGATATGTGGACCACAGTGTTACTCACTGTTTGCTCTTGCAGGGGTATATAAAAGAGGGGGCGGACACCAACTGCCCCAAACGTCAGAGCGCACTTAACTATAAATCTCTCCAAACTGCCCCTCTGCGCCCGGTGCGGTGTTATGCGCAGACATCTGTCCTGCTTTCAGTCCAGTATGAGGACAACGCGTGTGGAAACTCTTCGAGCTACATAGACACTATCCAACCTGGAGAAAAAAATGGAGAATAAATACCCCCATGTGTGTTGTTTACCATGTCCAGATAGTGTCAGATGTTGGCGATTATGAACATTTAACGCAGTTGTGGATATAACGGCGCTTTCACTGTTTGTTTGTTTTTTTACCAAGAGGCAGACGAGAGCTTCTCGCACTCTGGGGAAACTGATATTGTGCACCTTTTGCGCCTCGCTTATGCGCGGGAGACGCTGATGTCTTCATTGGACTCCTTTCAGTCGGAGATGGTGGAACTCTCTCGGATTTCCAACGTGGAAACGTAGCATCTAATTAATCAGCGACTGCAACTGTACCCCGTGAGGCGCAGTGGCACTCGGTCCGCTCTCTTCAACACCTACCTTTGGACTCTAAAGTGTGGAAAGACGCACGGTTTAGTTGGTGCGCTGGGTCGGAGTATGAAAAACACACCTGGTGCGGTATATCAGATTTTTTTTTTTTCACACCAGGACACAAAACCCAATTTGAACTCGATTTAAGGACATTTTTCGGATCGTGGCTGTTTCCAAACGATTCATGCAGCTGATTCAGCTTTGGGACACTAAATGAGTCGCGTTTTGTGTTTGGATTTTAACACCAACAGCCAAACGAGTTTCAGGTCTGCATGGGCCATATTTAAGGTAAGTGAAGCTTTTTAATTTCTTATCATTTGAGATTGTAAATCAAATGTTTTTACATAATCCGATTATTTGTGCGCAAATGGCAAAACAAGCGCCGCTTTCGTAATTTTTTTTCCGGTGAAACAGAAAATCAAAACGTAAAATGAAACTTGTGCATTTAAAAAAAAAAAAAAAATAGTTGTTAGGACTTTTGCATAGCATGTGTAAGCGCAGTATTTATTCATGCATGGCTGTTTAGGTTTACTGCAGACTCAACATGCCATTAGACAGAGTCACGTAAGCTTTGGGGATCGCCATCTGGCCAACTCACACCATTATTTAGGCTATCGTTGCCAACACGCATTGGTGCGTGCTTTAACCAATGCATTTTTGTGCAAGGCGCACCCTCCGAGCCGCATTGCAAGTAGCAAGAGCTCGCCTGATATCACAACAACATTATACAAATATATAATTTTATAGTCCTGATAGGTCTGAAGAGAATAATTAAGCAGCAGGTTAATGGTCTGGTCTGGTTAATCACAGGCAATTGTAAATAAAACAACACAGTACTTTTACGCACAAATTTACGCATTATTCTGACATTCTTTCTGTATTTTAGTTCCTTATTCTGTGAATATCCTGACATTATTAAGTACATTAAAGCTTATCTTTCATTGTGGTTCATTTATTTAGAATGTTCTGGTAGTTTTACTCTAATATTCATAATTACAGCAGACACAAAGTGAAGATCAAAGCCTCTTGACATCATGACAGGTATTAATACAGAATGAGTCACACTGTTTCCAACACTTTGCTGACTTCATTATAAACAAGAGTTGGCCTACATTCTGATTGGCCCGTGAGTGTGTAACGGTCATTGTTATTATTATTATTATTATTATTATTGTTGTTGTTGTTGTTGTTGCTGTTATTGTTATTATTATTATATTAGTTTCTAATGAGTTCTGTTGAGTCCCCTTATTTAAAATTTAAAATATCCTCTTATTTTTGCAGCTTTCTTCATCGGAACTGAGTCTAAGATGAAGTTATGGGATGTTTTGGCCACGTGTTTGTTGCTCCTGAGCTCTGTCGCTACACGGCCTCTCTACCAAAACACTCAGCCAGCCAAGAGGACTTATTTCCCCAGCAGCTACAGTGATTCTGCGTCCCTGTCTGAGGAGGACGAAGAGCCAACGTTCCAGCGCGAAGACCACAACCTGCAGGAGATCTCTATGGAAGAGCAATGTAAGGCACAGGGCATGTTTTGACGAAAATCTTCTGTGATGTGCAGTCACTGTGGATGGCCTCTTGAATGGTGGATAATTGGCTCACATGGGGGGGGGTTGCGTTATAGTTCTGTGCTGTTTGTGCAAACCTCCATTAAATACAATCTAACTAACCATTTAATCATATAGGAAAAAGTGAGACCTAACATCTTTTCATCTCATCGTCACGCACTGCCATGTGTTGACCTTTGAGAGGAATAGCAGGCAGCATGTATAGCCAATGCTGTTGGTTGCATTTTGTACGAGGGCAATTCAGATGTGAATGTTACACAGTTGGTTTGTGGGCCAAGTAATTTAGCCTTCCTAGACTAATTACACTTGAGAAACAGCGTGTAATGCGATAGCCAGTTGGGTTGAGCCAAAAGTGGAGAGTCCTACATTGATAAGGCTCTCAGACAGGCAGGTTATCAGATGGAAGATCTTAATTTGTGTTTTATTGCTGCTGTGGGTTACATCATACTGATGTCAAAACAAGCCAGCAGCATGGATAAGAGCATGAACAGCATCGATCCCAGAGGTCGCTCTCCACATTTCCCCTTCGGCCTTTGTTTATGTTCACCTCTGCCTCTCTGTGACTTATTAGACCCATGACCTTTACCCATCTGCCAGAAGTCAGAAATCATGGCATGTTTTAGAGAAGGCAGCGTGAACCAGGTCGCAGGAATTTCCAGGGTAAAGGCTAGACAACACCGGAAAGTCTGAAGCATCTAGTGAGAGTTCTGTGTTTATGTTCATTTTAACAGCGACGGTGGGCAGGAATTTATTTTGTTTGGATCAATGTGACACTGTATCATCTTTACACATAAGTAGACGTGGCCAAGAACTAGACTAGATAAGGAATGGAACATTTGGACAAATGTTTGTCCTGCCACCTCATATTCTGTTTGGACCATGGTGACATCATTGATCTGCTTTGTAACCCAAGCCCATTAACTATGCACTAATAGTGTAAACAACACTGTAGCTCCGAGAGGGGATGGGTTTTTTATTTTATTTAGTTTTTCCTTTTAAGACAAAAATCTGCAGGCAGCAACTGTATGAAAAGACTGATATTGTAGTGTTCAACCAATGTTGTATGTTACATTTAATGATTATCAGATCACATTGCTGTGCTGGGGATTTTTCTATACAAAACATGACTCTCTAGTATTGATGGTGCAGTTTGCACCATGAATCACTCCATTTGCTGCCACCGGTCCAGTCTGTCAGCAGGTGTACACCGTAGCCACCCTGCCTGTCAGCTGACACACAATAGGAGGTGTCTAAATCAAAGGGCAGGTGTGTCTAAACAGATTGGCCTGGGCTCATCTGATATATGAGCGCCGGCCCAATCAGCTGTGGAGTACCAGGTGGATCAGGTGGCCTGTGCACTGCCAAAGGAACAGGTAAGAGAGAAGAGATAGGTGACACTGCAATAGAGAGGCCGTGTCAACCACAACACCGCCTGCCAGACACCGCACTCCACTACTGTGACTTCTTGACACACATACAACATCACGACACACATCACTCACTCACTCACTCACACACACACACACACACACACACACACACACACACACACAGGTAATGTAATTAGAGCTGGGCCAATTGATTCATCTAGGAACAATATGTGTTCATGATCTTCATACATAGTTCATTGTTGCCAGACCTGCAGGCGTTGGAGTAGGAGAGACGTTACTGCATAATAGAATCAGCATGTAACACAGGAGGGTCCAAGACTTTCAGTGAGTCCTCATCACTCCTCGCAGCAGATGGTGGAGAGCTGTGCTGGTGCATGTTTCGAGTTCCGAGCAGACTACAATCTGCTTCATCTAAATGACTCAGAGCATATGATTTCCTTTTATTTGGCCTTTGAAGTCTTGGCATTCTGAAATTACATGAAAGATTTAATTTGACTGAAAAACAACATCTCTCTTGGTGGTGTAATTGGTTTGTGCCCACTGTATTGATACAGGTAATTGGTGTGTGAGAGCAGCAGGTCAACTTAGGCTATATAGTTTAACAACCTTTAACGACTCAGGTTCTCAGGAGATTGAAACTTAATGCAGGCAGCATGCCGGCCATGTTATTCATACAGAATCAAATCTGCCCACATCCCATCATTATAGGTGCTCTTTGAATTGTTCCCTGACAACAACAATTCACAAAATGGAACTGACAACACCCTCTGACCTTCAGCCTCCAACTCATCCCCCAACAGCCATCTTGGAAAGAGTCCATATGAACAACTCTAGGCTATTTTCTGCATTCCTCCGCCTGAGAATAATCTATAAATCAGCATGCACTGTTTCTGATCTACACATATTGCAGTATTTATGGACATGGTTTGCATTTGTGTCAGCACATATTTTTGGACAGAGTCTGGATGGTTTGTTGAACTGATTTGGTAGTGGTGCATTTATTCAATTCTGCATCTTACGTACGTAATTGCATTTGAGCATTTAAAGGAATAGTTTTTGGGAAATATGCTTATGCACTTTCTGGTTTAGAATTAAGCTGAGTTAGATGAGAAGATCAATACCACTCTCATATCTGTCATTTAAATATGAGGCTACAGCTAGACGCCTGTTAACAGTGATCTTTAGAGGTGGAAGTATGCAGATTTTGTTACGGTTGAACAGAGGCAGACTAGTTGTTTCCCCCAGTTTCCAGTCTTTGTGCTAAGCTAAGCTAACTGGCTATTGACTCTAGCTCCAATTTTTTACATTCATCATCTAACTCATCGAAATATGTCAAATTCTTTGTATTTGTGTCATTTTTCTATTCATTTATCATTTGTCTCATCTAAAATGATGTGATTTTATATATGCCTACATTTCATTCAATATTTGAAAGCAGTAAATTACTGATTACAATGTTGTAGTTTCACTGAGGTGACATTTCAGCTATTTTTTCCATTACCTTGACAGCGATGAAATTATTAGTTTAATACCGGCTTTATAAGTTCTTTATGTTTCTTTCAGATGACATCACAGGTCCATATCCAGAGCAGTTTGATGATGTAATGGATTTTATCGAGGCTACCATTGGCCGACTTCGGAGATCGTCTGAGCCCAGAGGGAGCTTCAGGGGACGGAGGGAGCAGAGACAGAGGGGAGCAGCAAACACAGGAGGCACAAGAGGCGAGGGGAGAGGACATAACGAAAGGAAGCGGGGTCGGGCGCGAGGGGGAAGTCGAGGTGGTAAGGGAGGCCGAGGCGAGAAGGGGAGGGAGAGGATATCGATGCAGACTCGAGGTTGCTTACTAAAGGAGGTCCACCTCAATGTGACGGACTTGGGGCTGGGCTACCAGACTAAAGAGGAGCTGATCTTCCGGTACTGCAGCGGTCCCTGTGCAGAGGCAGAGACCAACTATGACAAGATTCTCAACAACCTCACACACAACAAGAAGCTGGACAAGGACACGCCCTCTGTCACCTGCTGTCGACCAATTGCTTTCGATGATGACTTATCTTTCTTGGACGACAATGTGGTGTATCACACTCTGAAGAAGCATTCTGCCAGGAAATGTGGCTGTGTCTGAGAAAGTCACATGGATGTGACAAAATGACAGACATGACCAGCATCAGTGAACTAAGGATCATCTTTACACGCCTGTGCTGCAAAAGGAGGGATCACTATTTGAAATGGGCAAGTTGAGGTTGAAGAGGGAGTGTATTGTCTCAAATTTTTGTCAGTAGTCATCAAATGAGACACAGGTGAGTATATAAAGCCCACCTTTGTGACCTGAAATATGACGGAACAGCGGCAGACTGTACATTTAACTTTGACGGTCCATGCTCAGCCATTCAGAACCCATGACCAGTAGTTGACGGTTCAATCAGACACATGCAGAAGTGTATGAGGTGTGTATCAATATGCAGAAGAAACACTATTGTCACACTGTGGAGTGCTAACTGTGCTGTCTAAAAAGGTGAATAATTAATTTTCCTGGGAACATCAGTTTTTCCATAGCTGGCTCCTAAGACTCTGATGAACACTGAGATTTGAGGAGTATATTCAGCTGCAGTCTAAATCACCTCCACTGCATAGTCTGGATGTTGACATTTACATTCAGAGCCAAGGGATGACAAATCAACCCCAACCGGTGTTCCACAAAGACTTTTTGGTGCAACGCATCTACATAAAATCCAATTTTATATATATATATATATATATATATATATATACATACATATATATATATACACGTGTGTGTAAAAGGTATATTTATTAAGATGGAATTAACTTATTGCTATTTATTTCAATCCATTTTATGAAAGAAATTGTTGTTTTTTTCTTATTTATTTAAAAAGCTTTGTTTGTCCTGGATGGTGCCAAAGTGGAGCATTTTCTCAAGCAAAGTCTAAAAAGGTGATCCAGAACTGCTAAACACTCACCCACACATCCTAATAATGCTTATTCGCTTCACTTAGATTCCAGGGTTTCTCAATTTATCCAAAAGATCATCATCAGCTATAAAGTTAAGGGAGGGTAGATAGAGACACAGACGAGGGGACCAATAGAAGATTTTCGATTGAAATTGATCTGTTTTTTTTTTTTTTTGAGCATTTTCATTTGTTTTATATTTCACCTCATTTTCCCCAGTGGGACTATGCTAAGACAGGGGGGACTGCGCTCTCCTCACAGCACCTGGGTGCAGACTCCTAATCGATCTATCACATCATTATACTGTATGTTTACAAAGAGGCAAATGACTCTTTGCTGCTGTTTGTTTTCAAGGCAATTTTTTTTTCAAATGAATGATCCAGAATATATTTACTCCAAACAGGAGCCATCACATCGTTTAATTGAGGTCTCAACTCAACATGAGAGTAGTGGTCTCTCTGAGGATCTGTAGGTGCCTTTGAGGATCAATCCTTTGAGTCACAGAATACAGAAGCTGCTAGAATGCCTGCCTATCAGCGTGCGCTACCCGAAACCTCTCTCTGGCCTTGTACCAAGCCTGAGCAAAGGCTTTGCAGCGGTTACTTCTAAGTTCACAGGACTGCCCGTGTTTCTGCCTTGACTCTGACAGACAGGTCTTACTCCCTGAAAGGGGATTTGAAAGTGATCCTCTAACATGAGTCTTAACCAAATATCCCCGTTGGCAAAGGCACTTTGGTGAAGGCAGTTTAAGGAAGATCTCGCTACTGTAGCGGCTGTCGTCGCCAACCGATGTAAATATCTCAAGACTAGACGTTTGGACAAAAGAATGTGTTTTGGAATTACAGAGGGAAGACAATGGGTGGGTACAGCAGGCTTTCTTCATGTAATAACTTGTTTATTCCCCAACTGTACAAAAAAATATACATCCAGGAAAATAGGAGGCTCTTTAAAAGCATGTTGCTTTGCCCACCGAGACCCTGCGAGGGGATCGTTTTAAGTGGAACAAAGAGAGCCCTCGGGTAGGTCTTGATGTTAGCGCGGATTAGGGACCAAGGTATCTGTGCCCACCCAGCAGCAAGCAAGCCAGCTTTACTGTGTAATCCCCCTGAACACACACAACAAATCCACTGCATCAAGCTGAATTTAGGCCAAACACTACACAGAGGGAGAAAAAAAACTCAAGCTTTTATCACAGCATACCTCATCAATTGGATCATCTTCCCCTTTAACAACTGATTCGTGCGTAAGCCTTTCCAGATGAGAATGTGCAGTAAGGAGACTTCCCAGAAGCCTCAGAGCGCCTCGCTACTCTTCGATACCATACATTAATGTGTGTAAACTGTGACCACTAGGCCTCTCATCTTCATGACTCTTTGCTCAACTGTTCCTCGGCAATTAGTTTTCTGGTTTTGATGCAAAGGTAAACAAGCAGAAAAAGGTAAAGATGCGAAGGAATCCTCAGTGTTAATATTTGAAGAAAGGATTGGATTTGTTTTCACTCCTCATTGTGTTAACACCTCTGTGAAAAAACCTGTCATGTCGTCTCACTTGTTTCGTGTTACAGAACCAAAGCTCTCGGCAAACTTTATTTTTGTACAATATTCATTTTATAACTTTTTACAGAATTAAACTTGTTTCTATCAAATGAGCATGTCTCCTGGTATTTTGCCATGTACAACAACGCACCGGTACCAGATGGTGCTAATTTGTGTGGGATATGTTTACACAAGCATCATGTAAAATTGAGGATGAAAATTTGGGTTAAATGGAGAATTGCGGGGATGGTTTGAGAGATGGCCCTCTCTACAGTGTGGCGTCCCCTCCTGTTCTGCATTCCTGAACACTAGCCCAGGGTCGTACAGTAAACAAAAGCTAGCTGTAAAGCGCCACTGAGCTGTAAATCAAGGCACTCAAGAATGTTTCCACTGTGCAAAGAAGATATGTAAATGCTGATGAGAAAATGGCAGCAGCACAGACAGAGTCATTAAGCAGCAGTTCAAGGTGTGTATACTAAGTATAACTGAATACTACAAGAGCTGCGTACAAGTCTTTTGGGGCCTAGTCCTAGACCTAGTCAGTCTCAGTCTTCATAAGTTAGTTTCCAAATCTTCTGGTCCACTGACTACTGATCATCAAAATGACACAGCTTTTTTTCAAAGCTGGTTAAATGTGTTTTTCAGTGCTGAACAATGGATCAAATGACCATGTGTACGTAAAAGGGGCCCCTTGTAGTAGTGACAAACTTACAAGAAAAATCATTTAAAATCTACAGCTCTCCTCAGCTCTCCGGAGCGTTTTGGTGTCTTTCAGCTCATTGTTTTGGTTTCATGGCCCACGACTTTCATGTTTTGGTTCAGTTTCTCTGCTCTCCTCAGCATCATTTCCAGACATAGGCAGCTGTTTTCACCTGCAGGCTACCTGTCCAGTACCAACAGGCAGTCAGACAGAGTTAGTGAGCTGGTGAATATAGTGGAGCATTTAGCAGCCTAAGAGAGAGATATTTTCCTCAGGATTTGGTGACTAAAAGCAGGGCTAAAAGTGAATATTGGATTTAAATTTACCAGGTGGCCAGAAACAGGAATCCAAATGAATGATAATGTTGCTCCGTAACAGCTGTATATGTAAATATGCAACAGTTTACTGACAAGATAATGATATGATACACCGATCGGCCATAACATGCAGCCCCATACACAACAAACTGTGATGCACTGTGTGTTCTGACACCTTTCTATCAGAACCAGCATTAACTTTTTCAGCAGTTTGAGCTACAGTAGCTCGTCTGCTGGATCGGACCACACGGGCAAGCTTTCACTCTCCATGTGCATCAGTGAGCCTTGGCCACCCTTGACCCTGTCTCTGGTACACTGCTTTTCCTTCCTGGGACCACTTTGGATAGGTACTGACCTCTGCAGACCGGGAACACCCCACAAGAGCTGCAGTTTTGGAGATGCTCTGATCCAGTCATTGAGCTTTCACAATTTGGCTCTTGTCCAAGACGCTCAGATCCTCACGCTGCCCATTTTTCCTGCTTCTAACACATCAAAGACAAAATGTTCACTTGCTGCCTAATATATCTCACCCAGTCAGTGGTCATAATGTTAGGGCTGATCAGTGTATGTAACAGCTGATCACAGCCACGGATGGAAAAAGGAAGTCAGAAAGTGTTGAAAGATAAATTAACTAATTGGTTTTGGTATTTTCATGGTATTTGTTGACAACAATATAGAATATCACCAGCCATATCCTTTAAGTCTGACTGAGTTCATGTCTCAAGTGCACAAATCTGAGTCCTACCCATTTAATTCTGTCAAGTTTAATGTGCTTTAATCCTTCATAATGTCTGGGGTCGACAGTAATGGATGGTTGCTTGGTAACAAACTTAAAGGTCGGGTCCCCCAAATCACATTCACTGTGACCAATTTTTAAACGTTTTAATGCTTTCAGCAACACGGAAACTAGCATAACTAGATATAACACTACGAGTATTGTAAGAAGAAAATGTTGCTTTGTAATTTGGTTGAACTGACCCTTTACCAGCTCTGCTTCTTAAAATGCCTGTACCTGAAGGCTATGGGTTCAGATACAGGCACAGCTTCTCCTTTCCACGTGCAAACTGGTTCATCACATGGCGGTGGATTGATCGTCCCACTTGAATCAATCAGCAGTCACCCCTCACCTCCTGCTGCTGGCTGAGAACTCTTCACAAGAAGAGCTTGACGTCAGCCTCTCCCCTTCAAAGCCAATCTCCGCTCAGCTCTCCACTTTATTTGCTCTTAAAAACATCACTCATTGTCTTAGTCCTTCCATATTTCTTGTGTTGGTATTTCTTTGTCTCTTATTTAATTTTATGGCCACAGGATGCTTGCCAGGACAATGGTACATCCAATTTTCTGCTTGTAACTTCGGCTGGCTAGAAATATGAGATTGCTCTGCAGTTTCACCCATTGTAAGTCTCTGAGTAGAAACACCAGCTAAATGTCTTTACGATATAAAGAAGCTGAGAATAAAAAAAACAGATCATTTATTAGCAAATCCTGTGTGTCACTGTGCTAGTAACAGTTTAAAGTCAGCTGAAATATTTTTAGACACTGTACAGGTCATTCAAGGGGATTTGAAGACAGACACTGTTATAGGGTGGCTATGCAGTACAGTTATTTCCAGATTATTTTTGCAAAGACAGTGCAACAAACACATTCTGTAGGTTTGAAGCCAGATTATTTTGAATTAGAATTATATTTTTATCATAATTCTTTTCTTTATCAACATTAGAAAAGAAGCTTGTTTGGCTTAAGAATTTCTTTGATCAGCGGGTCACTTCATTTTGAATAAGATATCGCTATTTGATAAGAGAATACAAATTACTTTATTTAGGATTTGAGGTGAAATACAGTGTGTTGAAAAATATCTAATTTAGCAGATGGTCACATCATCACATCCAAAAAAAGAAAATAGGAGTATAACTGGTTGCAATTTTTTGTACTTCACAATTTTCTTCTTATAAACTAGCAAACTGTTCTTCATAGCCTAACAGAACCAGACCACAAAATCTGGAGCCGATTTATGAGGCATTAGCAGACTCTGACGATGTGGGAGGAGAGGACAATAGAAATGATGAAAATAAGGTCTATATAATCAAAAGAGACATAAAAAGCCAAGTTCTTCCTGTGGTCTATGAATTGCAATGAGTGGAACATAAACCTGTATAAAATTATATTATGCTTGCGCAGTGAAAATGCCTTCACATTTACAACACAGAAGCATGCACATAAATACATATGGGCTTAAAAAAAAAACATTACAGGAGGGAGGACAGAGGCTGTTCAATTTAATTGATGCCCCTTCGCGCAGTTTCTGGCAGTAATTCAGTGTTCAGGGATTGATCCTGAGACCTTGTGGTGCTGTATATCCAACCCACAAGCCCACCCTGTCAGCCATCCTATATAAAATGAGCTGCTGTTGAAGCCCCTCAGATCTTGCGTTTCTTCCACTCTGGTTCTTTGTCAGCCTCCTCATCCTCATCTGATTCCTCTGCAAACACTGGGTCTGGCTGGGTCCTAAAGAGGTAATGATTTAACAGGGTTTTTTATTTAAAGATAACTTCAGAGCAAAGTAATGAACAGCAAATTAAAGAAGATAACCAGATGACAGAGCTGTGAAGACATGAAGGCTTTAAGAAGTGTAATATTAGGATTTTAGTGCCTGGGACTATTTTTTTCTTCTTTACAGGGCAGTTGAGGCTTAAAGAAGTTTAGGCTGTAGATGTTATTGTTACATGATGCAGAAGATCAGACCAAACCTAACCCTGCCTTTACAGGGCTGCGCCTCAGCAGAATTAACTCGATGTTTAATGTAACTCCCAGAGGAGCAAAGAGTCTGCTGCTTGAGTCCAGAATGAAATAGAGTACTTCATCAAATTTGTAATATATATATCCCTCGTATATTATCTTTAACTATAGATAGTATGTGAAACAGACTGTTTGACTTGGCTTACAGCTTTGGGTCACGCTTACATAGCTGTCTGAGTCTGATAGTGATCTAAAGCTGTCCATTATGCTCCTTCCTGCAGTGTGAAGTGAGTACCTGTAAAACTGTACAACCCTTTAAACATTTATGTGTCACACCAGTAGGAAGTAACCCAAGTACCATCACAATAGCATACACAGCACTCCCAGTACTCGTCTTACACTGTCTGCTAACGAGAGAAGATGAGGGGACGAACAGTAAGATGGACAGAGGATGTGTAAATGATTCATATTTTTACAAAAGATATGAGGTTTTCTTACATTGTGTAGGCCGGGGCAACCCAATAGGGGTTATCTGAAGCCTCCTTGGCGTGACGTAGGATGGCCTCTCGTGGGTTACTGTCATCAGTTTTATCTAAAGCGATGTTCTTCACAATGAATGAAGACAGAGTGCCACCATGAGCCGCCACTCTCCCTCCACGACCTGTCAACACACAATGACTGGATTAGATACAGAAAATAATCACACCACTTTAATGTTGGATGACAGTTAGATTTTTAATTAGATTAGATTTTTTTATTTAAAAAATGTGTAACCTGTAATCAGAAGGAACTTCCAATTATAGCCACTATTTGCAGAACTTGAAATTTTCTTAGTTTGGCACCCCCCAGTGGTAGTATCACAATGGCAGATATCCAAATACAGGATCCAAGATTAACTCCCAGTAAGCGCCAAATGCAGGTTCATTTTGTAAAAAGGAGCAGCTTACTACTATTTGGTGCTTTCTACACAATGTCTGTGTATGTTTTTGCCGTTGTGGAGAAACATTGCTGCTGCCTTCGTTTTTGCGAGAGGTGGCGACTGAAAAAAAAAACATAGGAGCCCCAAGATCCTGTTCACATTCAGTTTACCTGCCATAGACAGGTGAGCCAAAAAAGTTCATTTTGGACCCTGGATAAATACAGGAAAGTTCAAATATCCAAATCTGACTTCTACCAAACTGACCTGGCAGTCTATTACTGGCTAGTCTTTGGTGTCATCCTCTGTTATCCACTATAATCTACTACAGACAGCGACATCACAGACGACAGATGTACATTTACAGTATGTATGCTGGTTTCACCAATGAGCTAGCTAACCTAGTGGCTAAAGTATGGATGTTATATTTGAAGAATCTCACTC